CCGGCACCACCTTCCTCTACATCCTCGACGTGCCGGCCGTCGGCGGCGACACGCTCTTCGCCGACGGCGTCGAGGCCTACAGGCGGCTGAGCCCGCTGTTCAGGGAGAGGCTGCACGGGCTCAAGGCCGTGCACTCTGGGTTCGAGCAGGTCGAGGCCTCCGTCCGCAAGGGCAGCATCAAGAGGAGGGAGCCCGTCGCCAACGAGCACCCCATCGTCAGGACGCACCCTGCGACCGGCGAGAAGGCCATCTACGTCAACCCGCAGTGTACGTGCACTCTCCTGTCCTGATTCTAGCAGAAACGAGCGCTAACAGTTCCAGTCACCCGCGATATCGTCGGCCTCAAGAAGGAGGAGTCTGATGCGCTGCTCAAGTTCCTCTACGAGCACATTGCGTGGAGCGCCGACATCCAGGCCCGCGTCAAGTGGGAGGCCGGCACTGTCGTCGTGTGGGATAACCGTGTGACCCAGCACTCTGCTCTCGTGGACTGGAAGGACGGCGACCGCAGGCATCTGGCGCGCATCACGCCCCAGGCCGAGCGACCGTATGAGACGCCCTACGAGACGTGAGCTTGTTGTCGTTTGTGTGATACCTTAGCTTAGCAACGAATAATGTGCCACTGTACACCGAAGTGCCTTGAAAAGTGCAGAAAGTGATCGTCATCTGTTCAGCTCGTGAGAAATCAAGCCACGAGGGAGTCGCATCAAGGTCCCAAGGTGGTGGAAACGCTTCATGGCAACCGATTTGGCCGTCCTTGTGAACGCCCTTCAGAAGTCTAGGCCTACCATCCTACAGGCGATGGCGCTTCGAAATCGCAGTGACGCCGTCACAACACCTGGCCAGTCGCTCGGCTCCCTGAAAGCAGACGAAGCCCGAGGCCCGACATGTTCGCCTCGTCCCTGCATGGAAGAGCACTTATCCTGGCACTTCATTGCGTCCGATCGGTCATTCAGCCCCCGCCGCAACGTTCCCAGGACGGTGGGCCGCCTGCAGCGAGGCCGGTTCAATTGGCAGTTGGCGCCGTGATAAGCGTGTCGCAATCCCATGGTCGCGGTCACGCCATCTGCTCCCACGCAATGCCGCGACGTGTTTACGGGGACTCCTCTCCGATTGCCACCCGCAGGCCATTATTCTCAAGCCTCTGGTTCTTGTCCGTGGTCGTGATGGGGTTGATGTCCTTGGCGACTTCTTTGGGTAATCTTTGCGTGCTGGTGTGTTGCAGGGTGCGTCTGGTAGCGGTCCGTTGCCAATGGTCTGAAATTCTGCTCTCGGTGTGTGTTGTTGGAGGCTTCCCTCCCCAATCGAATGGTGCCAGTTCGTAATGACTCGTCTGAACAAGTCGTCATGTCGGTGATGGTCCGACAATCTCTCCGCATGTCGCAGGCTGTTGCAGCAGATCTGGAGCCCAAAGGGCTTCCAGCACCGGCACACAACCCAGATGGATGCCCCCCCGCCGTCTACCATGCGTTCCCCAAAGCCGATCACCTCGAGGTCATTGTCCCGGCATCATTTTTCGGCGTATGGCACCATAGATAGACCACATTCTCGCCAATGGCAGCCCGAGCGATGTCAAAGATATTGCCGTCTCGCATGGGGTCTTGCGTGCTGGGTATTCATGGCGTCGAGGACCGCGGATCGGCTTCGTGGTCGTTGAGCCTCAGAGTATAAAACACGTGCGGCGCACGCATGCCCGCGGAGATGTCTCGCCCATCGGATCCTGATCTGAGCATCTCGATCTGGGCGTCGAATCAGCACCATTGTCTTACGTATTCGTTGTCTTAGCCAACGCTTGAAAGCACTGCCGCTGCCCCCCCCTTTTGGCCAGTCTCAACGGCGTGATCGCGGATTACTGAACTGCCATGGCTGGCATTTCTCCGGCTGGGGGTCCCTTCCAGGACAGCCCTACGGAGAAGCGACGTCTGGAGGAGACGCAGGACGACAAGCTGGGCTCCAGCCCTGCGGATTCCATCACCGATGAGGAGAGCAGACCCGCCAGGAAGGGCCACTACGGATCTACCGAAGACCACGTTTTCTCTGACCCTTCGGTTGCGGACTACTGGCGCAAGGTCTACGAGCAGGCGGGGTACGAGAACCGACACCGTTTCGACCCCACGCTGGAGTGGACTGCCGAAGAGGAGAGGAAGCTGGTGAAGAAGGTGAGATCGCTGCAGCCCGATCGGCATGATCTGCCGTAGGGACAATGGCTGACAGACGCAGATTGATTGGCGCATCTTGCTGTGGGCATGGATCATGTTCGTGGCGCTCGATCTCCACCGAAAGAACATTAATCGTGCCATTTCCGACAACATGGTTCGTACAATACAGCGTGATGCGCATGCACGTGCTAATATGTGGTATAGTTGCCCGAGCTGGGCATGGACACAAACGACTTCAACTATGGCCAAACTGTCAGTGTCATGATGTCAGTGATCGAGCAGAACAGGGCTAATGCGGCATAGATTTTCCTCGTGTCATTTCTCTCGGCCGAACTGCCCAGCGGCCTGATCAGCAAGAAGCTCGGTGCCGACAGGTGGATTCCCTTCCTGATCGTGTCTTGGTCCATCGTTGCCGGCTCACAGGCGTTCCTGACCAACCGCGCCGGCTTTTACGCCATCAAGGCTCTGCTTGGGCTGCTGATGGGCGGGTTCATTCCGTGCGTCGCCCTATCGCTGTCCTTTTGGAATTGTTGCTGACCCTCGCAGGGATGTCGTATTGTACCTGACCTACTTTTACAAGTCGAATGAGCTTCCCGTGAGGCTGGCGTGGTTCTGGACAGCGCTCAGCACGTCGAACATTGTCGGCTCGCTGGTGGCGGCTGGTGTCCTGCAGATGCGAGGCGTCAATGGTTGGGCTGGATGGCGCTGGCTGTACGTACTCTCCAACGATGGCGTGTGCCGGCAAACTACTGACAGACTGCCCAGCTTCCTCCTCGAGGCCATCTTCACCATCATCGTCGGCATCTTCGCGTGGGGCCTCATGCCACCTGGGCCTTGCCAGACGGCCAACTGGTTCCGCGGTCAGAAGGGCTGGTTCAGCGAGCGCGAGGAGCTCATCCTCGTCAACCGGCTGCTGCGCGACGACCCGAGCAAGGGCGACATGAACAACCGGCAGGCGGTGGGCGGCAAGAAGCTCTGGCTCGCCATCAGCGACTGGGAGCAGTGGCCGCTGTACCTCATCGGGCTGACGACGTACATCCCGCCGTCGCCGCCCAACACGTACCTCTCGTTCATCCTGCGGCAGCTCGGCTTCTCCGTCTTCGAGGCGAACCTGCTGGCGATGCCGTCGCAGTTCCTCTTCGCCGTCAACCTGCTCATCGTGTCGTGGGTGTCGGAGCGGGTGCGGGAGCGGGCCATGGTGTCGTCGACGTCGAACATTTGGATCTTTGCGTGGCTCGTGCCGCTCGTGACGCTGCGCGCCGACGCGAGCCCATGGGTGCGCTACGCGCTGCTGACGGGCCTGCTGAGCTACCCGTACTGCCACGCCATCCTCGTCGGGTGGAACGCCAAGAACAGCAACTCGGTGCGCACGCGGGCCGTCAGCGCGGCGCTGTACAACATGTTTGTGCAGAGCGGCAACATTGTGGCGTCCAACATTTACCGCGAGGACGACAAGCCGCTGTACCGCCGGGGCAACAAGATCCTGCTCGGCATCTGCTGCTTCAACATTGTGCTGTTCTATGGCGTCAAGGCGTTCTACGTCTGGCGGAACAAGACGCGTGATGCCCGGTGGAACGCGCTGACGAAGGAGCAGCAGGAGGAGTACCTGCTGAACACCAAGGATGAAGGCATGAAGAGGCTGGATTTCCGATTCTCTCACTGAGGGCCTTTGTGTAGGGCGATGAGAGTGGGATGGAGGCAGTAAATGCCAAAGGGTCACACAGGCCCCATTGCTTGGAGATGCCGGAAGAGAAGCCAGGTGGTGTTGGGTGTTGGGTGCATGCAGAGGTCCGCTGGGAAGGCGCTCAGTAGCGTTTAGCTGTCTGTCAGCCTTGTACTGCCACACCTACCAAACCAAGTAGAAGGTACCTGCCTGCTCACGAATAGAGAGGTACCTAGGTACCTTAGGTAAGGTACGTAAGGTAATCAGACCAGCTTGGTTCCTGCCTCAGGTCGGCATCTCTAGAACGCCCCGTGTATACGTCTTCGTCGCCACACATGATTGTCCATGTGGCTCATAATACCCAATTGATTTCGCACTCCGCCTTTCGCACCCCGGCTACTCGTGGCACTTTCCTCCAGCACGAAAGTATAGACCTCGATCAAAACCCGATATGGAGTCCTCAAGGTACCTTGAGCTACCTACCTACTACCTACCTAGGTAGCTACGTAACTGGCTGCCTCAGAGGCCGCCGTATAATCCCTACACCTGCGCCGGGCGCCTCAGCTGTCGTCTCCAGCCAACCGGGAAGCACACCTGCATCGTTACCCCACCTCCTCATGCGCCAAGACCGTTCTCAGACGTCGGTGAATGTCCAGCCAGACTCACGCTTGTCGCGTGCGAGCCTGAGCCCGCGCAGCCATCTCGTATATTTTGCGAGCTCAGGTTGGTCAAGACGTAGCCAGGCCCGTCGTCACTCCGATGTGCTCTAAGACTCTCCTGCCACACCTGACGATCTGGCTGGCAGTCCAGCCAACGAGACCGCTCCAGTCGCTGCACGAACTCGCACTTGCTGACACTCCTCCCTAGCACCTCAGGTTGCCTCACACGGTTCGCCAAGCGGCTGTGTTCCCCCAGTTCTCTTGGTGAGGGATCGGGCGTGGTTTTCTCAGTCCCCACCCTTGAAATCGAGACCGTTCTCACCCTCTTTCTCTTCCACGAGACCGTTCTCACCCTCTTTCTCTTCCAACACTTCCACCATGAGCAGATTCGTTACTTTGCCGTCTCCCCCATCGTCATACATCAAGGACAGTGCCCAATTCAAGCTTGGCGGCCCTGTGGCTCCGTCGCGAACAGCATCATGGAGGCGTTGGCAGCCTTGTCACTCGTTTGCAACGTTCTGCAGCTTCTTGACGTAGCTATCCGCGCTCTCAAAGCTTGCAAAGAGCTGCATGAATCTGGAGAGGGCCGACTCCGAGAACACAGCGACGCGGAGAAAAGTGTCAATGACCTTGTCGCGGCATTGGAAGAGTTCGATGCTACCTGCCCTGATCAAAGTCAACAGATTGACGTGCAGATTCGACGCGCCATCCAAGATTGCAACAAGACGAGCCTGGAAATTTTGGAAACTCTGAAACCCTGCCAGGTCAGAGGCCAGAAAGGTTTCTGGTCCTCTTTCCTTGCCATGGGGAACGTCGTTAGTCTACGTAAGGAAATTCAGACACGGCTGGCCGCCCTGGAATCCCATAAAAAGAAGCTGTCAGGGCTTTTAGAGCTGAGTACAAAGTACATCCGTCAGTTTGCCTCGCCAGTAATCCAAAGGCTAATTAGCGGTCTCGAATCTAGCTTCAAGGTCAATCAAATTCTACTCTGCCTTTCAAGGTTACAAGACAACTCGAACTCAAATGCGAGGGACCTGAAACATATCACGGAGCAGTTGCAAATACTTCTGATGTCATCCGCCTCTCATGGACTGACAAGAAGGAACGAGACTTTCCAAGCTGTACAACAGGAGTTCCCTCGCCTCCTTGAGCACATATACCAGCAAGGGGTTCTCGAGAGACTGCGACGGCGAGGCGCGACGAGAGGTTCTCGCCTTGATGCCATTGCGCCAGCAACGAAATATACTCTGGACTGGGTCTTCGCTTCGTCTGCAACAGATCGCCCGGGAACTCGTCAAAAGTATCACGCGACATTCGTCAGCTGGCTTCGCGAGGGTAGCGGATTCTACCACTTTCAGGGCAAACCTGGGTCCGGAAAATCAACGCTGATGAAGTCCGTTATCTACAACGCTGACACAAAGAGCCACTTGAGCTACTGGGCCGGCGACAAGCCTCTTTGTCTTGCCTCTTTCTTCTTCTGGAAGCCAGGGTCAATGCTGCAAAAGACCACCAGAGGCCTTGTGATGAGTCTTGTGTACGATATCATCAAGAGCTTCCCTCATCTTGCGGCAGTAGCCTTCCCTGAACATTGGGACCCAGAAAGCCATCATCTCAGCTGGCTTTCGAATACAACGATCCACGTACCCATCGGAAATGATGCCATTGTGGAAGGCTTCCAGAGACTCATCAAGCATCAAGGGCCCGGACATCCTAAGTTTTGTTTCTTCATTGACGGCCTCGACGAATTCGAAAATGATAGCGAGGATATGGCCCTCGGGCAGCTAGCAACTCTGCTTCAAGAGTGGGTCGACGTCTCACAGGGACACGTCAAGATCTGTGTGGCCAGTCGAGAACATTTCCCAGACATGGCAGGCGAAAGTCATCGGATCAAGCTCCAAGACTTCACATACCAAGATATCGAGGAACATGTTACGAGCAGCCTGGTTAAGAACAAGCGATTCGTCAAGCTTCAGTCCGTTGAAGGCAAGAGTTGCCGCGAATTGATCGACCGAGTTACACGCCACGCTGAGGGAGTTTTTCTCTGGGCGAGATTAGTCCTGCCGAGGATCCACACGGCCCTTGACGGTGGCTTCTCCATATCAAATATACTTAACATCGTCGACAAGACACCAAAGAAGATGGAAAAGTTTCTGGAC